AGGAGGTCTCCAGTGAGAAAACAAGACAAGTGAAATGTAAACATCTTGCCCAAGCAATCGGGTCGGTCAAAACAGATTTTTTTGTTTTTTATAATTGTGGTTAAGGACTTATTTAGATTAAAAAGTAAATAAATAATATGTGCTTTAAATGGCACTATAGAGTACGATGACTTGATTAAAGTTCTGTACTAAGAAGTCAAATTCAGATTTAATACTGTATTACCAAGCAGAGTTTTTGACTGAGGCTGCTTCTAATGCAACAATTGAATATAGTAGCTGTGTAGCTATTAATAAAAAGACTGTTCGTACAATATGCTTTCTGGCTGATAGTTAAATTTATACTTAATTCAGTGTCGTAGCACATCACACTGAGCCACAGTGGCTGGGTTTGCATAACTTAGCCAAACATTCTACCTTGCTTGTTTATCAAATTGATATCTCACAAATGTAACTCTTACATGTTTATTTTTGCCAATATGGTTACTAGTGAACCCGTGTGACTAAAGATATTTACTTGCTACACTCTTTTCAAACTGACCGTGGAATTGTGAGTTCAGTATTCTGTGCCAAAATTCAGCAGAGACCAATCTTTGTTTTTGTATAGAAAGCATACTAGAATGTAGACTTTTCAATGTTTATTATTTTACCGGTATATGCATGACTAATTTATACTTCACCTTTCCTTCAGAGGCTTGAGGCATGTTTATAATCTTGGCCCCATTTTTACCCTGCAAAACAACATGTGAGCTGAGTGACAGGCACAGAATCACAATGGGCTTTCACTGCTGTGGAGGACCTGAACCAGCCTAGTACTTTAATCACTACATCATTCTAGCTCTTTACAAAATAACTGTAATTAAATCTTTTCTGCTGGGTTTGCATAATACTCATGCTAAAATGTGGTTGTTTTGCAGCTCAGAGTGTTGTAAAATGCAGCCAGTGCGATTAGTTTTCTTGAAGTAATAATTGGATTTATTTGGTATACAGAGTTTATTAACTTTGGGATAAACAGCCTACATAAAGCAACATTATGCCTCAGATAACTGCAGGACTGTCCTCAGGCGGGGTGGAAGGAGATGATGGCATGTGGCATGACAGAAAATGATACAACCCTCCTGATTTTCCAGAAGTCTTTTCTTGATTGCTGGAAGGGACAGAATTATGGATTATCTGAATATTGATTTAATCTTAGATAACATGTATGTACCTGCCATCAATTCAAATCCACATTGAACTAGAAAATAGGTACCGTAAAACATTTTTTTCCACTCAGTTGAATTGGACATAGACTTATTATGATTTAAAATATTGCCATGAGTTTCAAAAAGGGAATGATGAATACTAAAAGCAATAAATCTAGTACCCCACATCTTCTATATAACATGAAATACTGCCATTTCCTCATGAGTAGCTTTGTGCTGGTGATACTAGCTGGATTTATATAACACACCAAGATTAAACACAGATGGCTAATTCAAAGTGTGAGGTAAGCATTGCTATATTGGATACAGTTCTATATTCCATATTGAAAACTACTATAAAGAACAAAAATATATGTTGTGAAGTTCAGAGTGCCATTTCATATCTTATATAAAAAGACAGTGGCTGTAGTTGCATTGAATTTTAACTCATATATACTTAATATGTTGCTTTAGAAAACTAGCCTTGTGCAATATGAAATTATACTGATTGGATCTGCACAAGACACACTAAGGGGTCAACTAGCTAGCCATATTTTATGCCAGTATATATTGCAAATTCAGTCATTGAAGGTTTGGATAAAAGAAGAAACCTTGTATTCCTTAATGAAATTGGATGTGCTTTCCTCTCAGTCTTGACTCCTAGTAACTGCCTGTTTTTCAGAAGTGCTTGCTATTGCCTTTTTCCTAGGGCTGAGAAGGAGTAACTCACCCAGAGTTATCTAGCTAGCTTCATGCCTAAAGGGAGGATTACAATTTAGTCTTTTGATTTCTTGTGCAGTGTTAAAAATGATCATATCTAATTGGCTCTCTTAATGAATTTATTTATTAAATTTATATAGCTACCCATCTCGCTAATGTGACTGTGAGTGTCTTATGAAGTTAAAAATCCAGAAAACAATACAAAGTCAACCAACTCCCCCCCCCCCAATAATTAAAAACATTAAAAACAAACTTTAAAAAATTAAAACATAATCAACAGAAAGCACCATTATGTTGTACCTAAAAGTACAACCTCTTAGCAGGCTCTCCACCAACATCACTGGATTTCTAAACCAGTTGACAACAGCCATGTTTTCAGGCTCTTCTGGAAGGCCAACAAAGTTGGTACCAATCTCACCTCGGGGCAAATGGTATTCCAAAGGGTTGGCTCTGGCAGAAGAAAGGTCTCTTCTTGGATGCCATCAGCTGACATTCCTTTGTAGACTGCATCTGCAATGTGCTCTTTCTGCCAGATCTGATGGGACCAGTAGATGTAATTGGGATGAGGTGGTTCCACAAATAACCCAGTCTCGTGTCAAGTAGGGCTTTATAGATCATCATCAGCAGCTTGAAGCAGAGCAGAGGTGTAATATGTGGTGATCTAGGTGTGCACATGTCTGTGCTGTTGCATTTTGCACTAGCTGAAGCTTCTAGATGCTCTTCAAAGACAGGTCCATGTAGAGTACATTACAGTAATCCATTCACCCATAAAGCACTATATGGAATACAAACATAAAAAATACATAATTCAAAAACCAAAAATAGTGCCTTCAACTACCTGAGTGTCTAGATATTCAGATTGGATACAGAAAAAAACCAATAGTTAGAGCAATTTTGAACTTACGTTTTTCAGGAATGATTTTAGCAATATAAACAGATTAGAGCTGTTTCACATTATTTGCTGGGGTCACTGCTCTGTACTGTTATGATTCTTTTTAGGGAAAAAACTGGAGCAGCTTAGTCTCTGTGTGCTTAGTTTTGAATAATAAAAGCAAACTATCTTTCTCCTAGGTTAGTTCAAATGCAGATTCAAAGGAAAACAGGTATAATAGTATTCACATGCTGTTTTACAGTTTTGCTAATTTTTTCTCCCCACAGGGGAAAACTTGTTTAATTTGAGCTAAATTACTTTTGGTACAAAAAAAACCCTCTGAAACTATTGATACTATTCTTTTAAAAATGATAAGTGTTCCTGCTGTCAGGGAAACAGCTCCCAGGATTAGACTGTATTGCAGTCATCTTGCTCCTCAAACAATGAGATATTTCAGCAGCAATGATTTCCCTCTTTGTACAAGAATGCACTTAAAATCTATATTGTAATGACTATTGTGTTTGCTTAAAAACTAACAATAGGCTATAGCTGAAACAAACATCCATTTGATAAACAGCATAGAGGGATTAGATCTCCCAAAGAGGCCAATTGCCCCTCAAGGATATCTCACTTTGGCCAAAGTTGACCTTCATCTTATGCTTTCTTAAGTCAAACTGATAAGTAATTCTACAAAATGTAAAATTCTTCAGGTTGTAGAGTACAGTATCATGTTCTTCTACAGATAGAATTGCCCTGAACAATTAATGGAAATATATTCCAGGGCATATAAAATAGCTGCTCTGAGTCAAGGACTTCTTTATGAATGCATGAAAGTAAGTAACCCAACTTAGAGATGACTGGCTGTTTAAAAATAATCATTTGTTTATTCTAAAATTGTCTAAACATTATCTGCAAATTGGATTGTAATCACTCTGCAGAAGTACTGTAGTAGAAGGCTGAATTTCTTGAGGGACTTTATAAACGGTCGCAGGGTTGAAGATTGCCTAACTTTGTGGGGAATGGGGAGAATGTTGTGTAAGGTGGGTGCCATGGCAGAGAAGGCTTGCCTCCCAAAACGCACCAAATACAAGTCCCTGGACTATGGAACCCATAACATGCCTTCTCTGCCAGAGCTAATGGGATGGGCTGATGTAACTGGGGAAAGGCAGCAACTGGCATTGGACCAAAACAGACTGGAACCAACACAGCTCATGAAACAGAGGTATTGTATGTGCTCTTCAAGAACCACACATAACAGCCTGCGCCTCTGCATTTTGCACTAGTTGAAGCTTCTGGATGCTCTTCAAGGGCAGCCCCATGCAAAGCACATTACAGTAGTCCAATCTGGAGGTGATTAGGACCTGAGGGACTGTGAGTGGAACCTCCTGATCAAGGTAGGAGTACAACTGATGCACAACATGAAATTGTGCAATACTCCCTCAGCCACAACTGCCACCTGCTCTTTGAGGGGTAGTGAGTCTAGGAGCCCAAGACTCTTTGTCTGGGGTGGTATCACCAGATCAGCATCAAAGTTCATACACAGCAGCAGATTAAGCTAGCAGTATTTTGTGGTGTAAGACCAGAAGAGAGTAAATCATAGATAATGTTTCATCTGGAGTATCTCCAACATACTCTCTTGAAAAGTAACAATTTATTATAACAATTTATTATGATACATGAATTCAGTGAACAAAATTCACTTTAAATACCATCATAATCAAATGACCCTTAGTAAGATTGCTGTCTGGAGTTACAGTTTATATATATATTTTAAAAAGTAACATAAATCAAAAAAAATATTTTTTATTTTGAGTATTACAATTGCAATGTAATAAAAATGCAATATATAAAAGTTTGGAAATAAATTCCACTGAATCCAGGAAGCTAAACTTTTAGTACCCGTGCATAGTACTAAAGTGCCTAAGATTGCGGAGACAATTCACATATCTATTTTCCTTCCCATCCATTATTAGTGTCAACACGTTAACAGCACCTATAATTTCTTAAAGCGGCAAACAGAGCGGGAGCAAACTGTTTACAATATACTCCTTCAGCGCATGCTCTGTTTAGCGGATTGAAGCAAACAAAGGGCGGGCGAACAATCCTCCCGTTTAGAACGCGTTACGTCACAATTTCACATTCTTCCAATGGGTAGTCTGAGACCGGAAGACGACACGAAATCGTTGAGCGAACCGCTAGTTGCTCTCTAACCGGAAATAGCCGTTGTAAAGTCAGTCTGAAGCTAGCATGAATGTCCGGGCTTTCCCGTTACTCTCTGGGTCCTAAAGCCCACCCAGAAAAAGCCCGGCGCCTTGCAGATTGTCCATATCCGATAGTTTGGTGATCTCATGATTGCTGCTTTCAAATACAGGCGCGGCAGACAGGTACGAAGATGGGAGAGTGGCAGATTTCGACTGTGGCGTTACGTTAGATTGGTAGGAGGGAAGAGTTGGAAACCAAGAGGAGGAGGAGGAGGACTGCTTTGCTTTGGGCTGGAGAGAGACAGATACAGCTATAATGTTTTTCAGACCTCCGTGGGTCAATCCGGATTGATCAAGGAGGTGTGAAACAGGGATTACAAGCAGCGGTAAAGCCGGCAAATGTAAGAAGGAATATTCGTTTTATAGGAAGCAGGATGAAAGCAATACAAATTCACATGTAGAGCCTTTCCTAGCCCTTTCCTAGCCCTGAGACGGTACAGTGAGAAATCTGCCACTTGTTGAACCCTTTGTAGTTTTTCTAAAACTATGGGTTAGAATCTTAGGTGTGAGGAAGTTATTTCGAGTTATCTCAAGTCCTGCCCGATGTAAACTTGCTCTATATAAACGATGGAAACTTGACAGTGTACAAATGACACCTTTTGCCTCCCTTTCAAATGTGCTTTCCGGGTAGATAATATAAAATCTTACTCCATACCAGTTGATTTAAGATGGTTCGGATTTGTTTCAACCATTTAAAAATAAGATAAATGAGATCTGTTGCTAAGCAACTTAAGCCCAGGAATGAAGCTGAGAGCAGCCTGATAGCAAAAAGGAATAATGTGGCTCTTTAGCTGGGTATGATTTTGGCATCCGTCTATTTAACAAACATTGGGGAGATCGGTTGTATCACAATTCCACCCTATCAGCCCTTTGAGGTAGGAAACAGACATCCCAAAAATCCCAGAAATGCCACTTTATTGTTGCATTATGTAGCAACTGAGTCTTGAAAATTTGACATTCTCTCTCCGCCCCCTCCCCCATATCAAGGTGGAGCAATCTTGAGTTTCTCATTCCCTTTCAAGGGTAAGCTGATGTTTACACAGCAGTTGTTGATATACCTTCTTCAAGACCATCTTGTACTTCTTTACTCGCACACCTTATACCAGGGCTCCCAAACTGTGACTTATACCTCCCTTGAGAAGATCCAGAGAGAATCTGGGGAGGAGTGAAGAATCGTTTAGTTGTATATTGTTACAAAAAAGTCCACCTTTTGCAAAGTTTTATGTTATCGTTTTAATTGTTCATTTGTGTTCATTTTGATATTTGGATTTTTAGGGGAGGCATGAACCTCAAGATTACATTAAAGGGAAGTGTGAGGGCAAAAAGTTTAGGAGGCTTTCCTTTTATTGACAAGAGCCAGACAGTCTGTATGATCCAGAAGACTTTTATTTGGATATAGTTTTGGGTCTTTGGGTTTGAGTAAATTGGTAGCAAGGAGGAAGTCCAAGTAAATGCCTTGCCACAAATTTCTAGAACTACAGCTGGCTTAACTGTAATCAGTTATTTAGGTGAAACATAGAATGAGTTGGTTTGGTGGATCTGCTTTTCTCCAAGTGATAAGTCTCTAACATAGTGTTCATTAGTGTCCATTAAGGGAATTGTTTTTGCTGATTTATCTGCTAAACCAGGGGTAGGCTCTTGTATGAGTCCTGGACTTCCTTGGCTCTTGTATGAGTCCTGGACTTCAACTCCCAGAATTCCTGAGCCAGCCATGCTGAGGGGAAAGGGGGAGGTTTCCAAGCTGAGCCATGCTGGCTCAGGAATTCTGGGAGTTGAAGTCCATGAGTCATATAAGAGCCAAGGTTGCCTACACCTGGGCTAAACAATCTAGAGATATACATCACTGAATCCCAGTTTACTGCAAAAAAAAAATATTGAACAATTGGGCCAATATACCCCAAATTGGAGTCCTTTAGAGGTACTGATCTTCTCAAAATCTCCAACCAGAAGACAGGCAGGGGTAATGGGAGCTATACAGCTGGATGACATGATAGGTCCATCACTGGAAGTTTTTAAAAAGAGATTAGAGAGCCATTTATCCAGAATGATATAAGGTCTCCTGCAATGATAATTGAATACTTTAATAATAAAGAATTCTTCAATTTGTGATTAAATCCAAATAATTACATTATTGCAAAAATGGCGTGACTGAGATGTTTATTTAAATCTGTGTATTGTAGGTTTTAATATGATTTCAAGAAGTGGGAAAACAAGTGATGTTTGAAATCTTGTGGTGCAAACATATTACATATGAAAATAGCATTGTTTGTTCAGAGAACATAAAGCAGAAAATTAGTTGTAATGGATTCTCAAGTGAATTACTCAGTGTCTGAAATGAAACGGTAAGTTTAATTCCTATAATTAACAAAAATAAAGTTATGACAATTTCTATTCTCTGAATACTCTTGACCATGCAATTTCTGCCATTTGCTAGTTCTGAGAACAGAATGCTAACTGCAGGAAATATATATTTGAAAAAAATGTTTAGTACCAGATAGCAATTTAGAATGTATAAATCATACTGTTAATACTTCATAATTTGAGATTTCACAGTTTGCACTAGTGTTACAATAGTCGTGTGCTACCAGATAATTAACCAATAGTGCTGGTATCTTAGTGAAAATTCAGCTTTCTGTAGGATTGTGTTAGCTTACTCTAGTTGGTTTTAAAAATAACTCCCTACACCTACATCACAAAATCATTAACAAGTTTAGATTTTGTTTGGAAATACATAGCAAATATAGGATTGTGCTATAAATATATCTAAGACAACATCCCTTGATAAAGCATTCCTGAAATTCCTGTAATTAAGAATAGCAAAATACAAGTAGTCCTTGAATTACAACAGTTCATTTAGTGACTGTTCCAAGGTACAACAGCACTGAAAAAAGTGACTTATGACTGTTTTTCACACTTATAACCCTTGCAGCATCCACTTGGTCATGTGATCAAAATTCAAATGCTTGGCAACTGGCTCATGTTTATGATGGTTGCAGTATCCCCAGGGTCATGTGATCACTTTTTGTGACTGACAATCAGTGTCAACGGGGAAGCCGATTCACTTAACAACCATGTTACTAACTTAACAGCTGTGGCAAAAAAGGTTGTAAAATAGGGCAAAACTCACTTAACTGTCTCACTTAGCAACCGAAATGTTGGGCTCAATTGAGAATTACCTGTACAAATATACACACATATATACATATACACATATGCTACACACACACACACACACACACACACACACACACACACACACAGAGTTTTCATGGTTCTTCAATCCAGTTTTGGTAATAAAATATAACTGACAAAAAGATACCTTATTTTCTAAATTTTGTATTTTACTTACCAAATAGAATGAAACTAATGGGTAAAATTGCAGCTTCCTTTCTAATAAACAGGACGATTTGAGCTGTGAGACTCAAATTAGTCAGAGAAGTGTATTTAGTCCCCGTCAGAAGTTGTTTCCATTTTCTCTTCAAGATGTGATTTTTCATGAAAGTTTTTTTAAAACTTTCATATTTATATTTATAATTGCCTGTTGACAATTAAGTATTTTTTTAATGGGGGCAGCTGGCTTTTCCTCTTGTCTTACCATGTTTATATTTTTCTTTTCCTGCTTACCATCATGTTATGTCATATCTATAACATTATTTTTTATCCCTGAATTGTTCTGCTGGTCACTTCCCATACTATATGAAAAGTAAATGCAGTATTTTAAAAAGTTGCTTAATTTTCCCTTTATGGTATATTATATTTAAAAAAAGAGGTATTTTATCACACTTCCTCACTGTCAGTGCAAGAAAAAAAATTGTTATTTTATGTGAGGTGGTTGCCATAGTTACCTTAGTAACTTAGATAAAAGATTTAGTTTTGTTTCATGAACCTTTCCCTTTTATTTGAGAAGCTGAGTAAGGTTTACGAGTTAAGAATTATAATTCCAGGTAGTTTATATTTTGGTGCCTAAAAGGATAACATTAAAAGAGTTGTATGCATGCATCTTCTAGTAATAATGAATTAATAGTAATTAGAATTGAGCTGGGTTCATCAGGGTAAACTTATTTTCCCTCGACATCAAGGAAACCAGTCAACAGCTCTCTCTGTTTCTCATTACCTGAATATATGGCAGCTGGTAAGATGCAAAACATCCATATTTTAAAAGCTACGCACAGGAAGAATTTTATTTTATTATTGTGAGAAGCCACTCCTCCTGGACTTTCTCCATGTACAAAATTATTTAAGCTGCATTATTAATGATCAACGCTTCCATATTTTTCTAAGTAGAGTTTGAAAAATGCTGGCTGAACAAAATAAATGTTATTTTTGTTTTTATTTAAGCAAGAGACAAAGGAAGAAATGTAAGGTTTGAAAGAGATTGACTTTTATAATGGGTGGCATCTCTTGTGTTTAATTTGTTTCTACCCTGCCTTCATTTTTCGGCATGACTCACAACCCTTTAAAAATATAACATATAAAGCAGAATTTTTAAATCGGTGCAGTTAGAATTAAATATAAAAAGTTGATAATCTTTAAAATGTCCTTCAGTGATCTGCAGTCGCAGATGTAGGTAGCTTCTGAGACATTCTTGAATGCAATGGTAGTGAATAGGGAGCAAAACAGTTCCATTAATAGCCAGAGCTCCAGCGTATATTACCTTGGAAACGAATCTTATAAATTGAATGGGGCTTAGTTCTGAGTGAGAAATGCAACCTTGCTGCCTTGATTATTTGAAAATTCAGAGCTGGTATGACTGAGATCATTGTTAGTGAAAAGTCCTTGCATTTTTAAACAGGAACTTTGCAAAGACATTTCTCCACAATCATAGTGAAGCTGATGTGGAAACAAAGGAAGATCTGAGAAGAAAACTCCATCAAGCCAAGAAAGAGAAACTTGACATAACTGCTAAACATAATGCAGAGGTAACAAATTCATTGCTGTTGCTGTGTGTGTGTGTGCGCGCGCGCAACATTCTTATATAAAGTACTCATCCTGTTGAATGATGACCTTTCCCTCCAACTTGCCACCTTTCTGATGTGTCTGTGAAGAACTACACCAGCCTTCCTCAATGATGCTAATGAAGGAGTTTGCATTAGGCTTCTGCACTCTTGGACCCTGGTTTAAAAGAACTTCTTTCAATCTTTTTTTTTTTTATTATTATTATTATTTTTTTAAAATTTATTTTTTATTTTTCCAAACTCTCCCCCATACATATACTGTGATATTTATCAGATATTAACATACATTCTTTTTACATTCTTATATATAAGATACTTTTAATGAAATAAATACATGCACATGACTTTTGGTGTTGCTCGCCCATTTCCCCTTTTACTGCATCCCCACTCCTTCTTCTCTACCTTCTNCTCCTCTCCTCTTCTCTTTCACCACTCTCTCCTCCAACCTTCCTACTTCCTTCTCCCCTCCTTTACTCTTTTCTCTCTCCTCTCCTTTCTTTCCTCTCATCCCTCTTCAGATACAATTCAGGGGTAATGTCCGAACAACTCCTCTCTCCAAATTTCCCTATCTGTATTATATACAATAAGATTAATTTTCTCTTACATTGATACTTCTATTTATCTAACCTTCTCAGTATATACGTCTATAAATATGTATACAACCTCTTTCAATCTTGTCCAAGTCCAATCTTTGTGGTATTAAAGTTACTATGTCTTTTAAAGCAGCTGCAGCATTTTTTTCTTTTTGCAGGCTTACATGAAAACCTAAAAGAGGGAGCTGCTTTAATGAATACAATAGGTACTGTGCTTCATGAGATCCAAAGCACTTCTAAGTCATAGTCACAACATGGAAAGTCATATTAAGATTCTTCCAAATGTTTCTTTTTTTTCTTGGATTATTTTCCACCTCTTTTTTGTAAAATGAGAAACCAGAATACAGGTATAATTCTCATGGGAAAAGAACTTCATTTATGTTTTAAAAAATATATGATAGGATGTAGGTGATTAAAAGAACTCAATAATCTACCTTAGTGGGGTCTTCTAAGTTAGATGTGCTTCTTGCATTTTTTTTATTGTTATACATAATTTGCTTTTCACTTTGGAGTTCCCGTCAATAATTAGTTTCTAATATAGCATTTTTGATTGATTTTTATTAATAAAATGTTAGTAATAATTTTTTTTAATACAGTATTACACAATGCGTTATGTTATTTTGATACAGTGGTATTTATACAGTGTTGACTAGAGTTTCTTAACACTCTAAGGTTTAGATGACTTAGGCTATTAAAAAGAAAAAAAAGCATTATATACATGACCCATATCTGCTGGGCAGTGTTATGCTTCAGGGTTTAGTGATTGTAGTCTAGAAAACAGATTTCCTGATGTTTCTTGGGAATTCTATACGCGCCATCTATAGTTGCTCGGAAATGTCAGTCAATCTGTTATCTAGACCATAATCACTAAACCCTGAAGCCCAACACTGCCCAAAATGTATTAATCAGTATGAACTGTTTAAGATGTTGATCTTAATAAACATATGGTTATTTAGCTTTTACATCCAAAGCATGAATGTGAAGGGATTGTTGTTTAAGAAATATGAGTCAAAAGTTCCCTAGGGCTCATGGAGTTAATTATGTACTCAGTGAGATTCCTGCTGTAATTTGCATCTTGCTTGTAACATAATTCCTGTTGGACTTGGAAGGAAGCTGGAGATAATGCATTTCTCCTCAGTAGATGAATAGCCTGGAGGCCACATGCAGTTTCCAACTCATTGAGATTGTGTTGCAGAAATTCATCAGCAAAAATGCCTAAATTTTGATGGCTTGATTTTTGCTTGTTTTCTAGGCTTTGTGGCGGTTTTAAATATAGGAATAGAAGGTGTTTGCATCCCTGAGACTGCCTACTCCTACCTTTAATTTTCCCCATGTTAAAAAAAACATAAAACAACCCAGAAAAAAATAGCTTCAGAAAGCTACTTACCTTCAGCTCACTTCACAAGTACGAATGGATAATCTTCTGCAGTCCTTATAAAGTTGGGGTACTAAGATAAGCTCCCCATTTTTGAAAAGTGGAATATTTTAAAGAAAGCAATTTCCAGTGTTACTTCACCCTGAACTGCATGGAAAGTGTTCATGCAATATAACAAAAATGTAGGCCTGGCTGGTAAGTTCAGGTAGTTCTCACTTAACAACTGCAATCGGGACCAGCAACTCCATTGCTAAGCAATGGGGTTGTCAAGTGAAACATCACATGACCATGATGCCAATTCCTCTGTGCTTGTAAAGAGAATGACTTGCAGTTGTTCAATGCAGCATCATGTTCCTACGACTTTCAAGTTACTGCTGGCTTCCCAATTCACTTTACTTGGCAGAAGTCAGCTGTGAAGATCGCAGATGGAGTTCATGTAACTCTGGGGTGATCATAAGTTCAAGGACTGGTTGTAAACCTACTTTTTTAGCACTGTTGTAAGTCTGAACAGTCGCTAAACAGGCGCTAGACAATAACCAAGAACTACCTGTATAAAATGATTTAGAGCAGAACATGAAAATAATAAAGAGTCTCGCCGTACAAAGCCCACCTTCCATTGCGTATGAACTACTGTAAGTCTTGTCAATTCAACAGTGAAGAAAATACTTCAACAGTTAAGAAGTGAAAGGTTTGACACTTAAAATGAGCTAACTAAGCAGCTTTCAAATGAAATGAGCATTTGAGATGAAAAAGTTTTAACGGGCATCGTGAACGAAAGTTCAAACTTAACGCTGCGTGCAGCTTACCGTAATGGTGATTCAAACTAAGACCAGACAGCCTTTTATAAAAAGAGAGGGGGGAAGTATGATGGATTTCATGCAAACTTTGTGGTAATTTAATAGACTTAGGCTGGGTTCTAATTTTCAGAATGTGAAAGTGAATTGTGAAGTTGCTGGTGGTGACAGGAATTGCACTAAGACCTGCATCCTTATGTTAAAAGTAGCTATCAATGAAATTGATGAAACAGCACATCAGATCCTTAGCTTTGATGGCACAGAATTGTTCTGGAAGAGAATGTCAGAAAGAATATACACTTCCAAAGAGGAAAAGACAATGCAAACTTTTAAGGCTGTTAAATATCAACACATCCTTTTATTTGGAGCTATTGTAGCAGGAGATGACAAACTGAAACTGTTTACCATTGGAAAACCCTTCTGCTTTTAAAGGCATCAGAAAGACTGGGTCCTTTCTATGCATTATTGTTCAAATCCAAAAGCTTGGAGCTCAACAGCTTTTTTTCTAGACTAGATTCATCCATTGATTTAATCCTGAGGGAGAAAAAGGAAAGTACCATTCATAGTTTGGTTTTGATTTGCAATGTTTTACAGTAACTGTATTAATTTTCAAGTATTATGTGATTAGGTAATTTACAATCATGTAAAGGCATTTCGGCATATAAACAACAGACGAAAGAAGAAAAAAAAAAGGAAAATCAAAATGATTTTCACAAACCTTTCAACCCAATTTGTTTCAAGGCATCTTAAGTGTAAATAATTGCGTAATAGGAGTATTCAAAAAATAATTTATCAATAAAGTTACCTGTAATTTTTTTTTCTTCAAAAAAAACCTGGATTTCATTTATAGCTATCAAACTACGAAAGCCAGATTGCAAAACTGCGAGCGGAAGTTGAGAAGGGCGAAGCTGTCCGACAAAGCCTGGAGTATGAATTAGCCGTAGCAAGGAAAGAAGTTGGCATAGAACGGTATTCATCAGAAGAAAAATTGGGCGGAGCAAACAAACAAATAGAACAGCTGCAAGGTAAAATTCAGAATATATTTACAATAAATAATTAACAGATTTCTGAACATTTTCCCTATGAATATAATTCAGTAACAGTGTTTTCCTGACATAAATAGGGAGTTAATTGTTTTAGAAACACCTTATTAATATTCAGGTCTGACTCTCCTGGGTCTTTCTCATTTTGTTACTGCCACTGATTGTTTGGTTAAGATTGTTACTTAATTTCTCAGATTTAGAGTTTTTAAACTAGTTGCCACATTTTTCATAGTCAGTTTCATCGATTCTGAATATTCTGAGTTAAAATGTAATATTTTAATTTGTAACTTCCACATTTTTTGCTTGGTTGAAAAGGTTTAACAGCAGGTGCTAACAACTTAGAAAAACAATTTATAAGAATGACATTTGTAATATATACATTTAATAAACCTTATATTTTTAATAATACTTTATTACCCTTCTTTAATATCTCTTATACTTTAATGCAGTAAATACATCAAAATTATTGTTTTTCTTGTGTCCTGATTCTAACATTTCATTCCATTCCTATTTTTCCTTGCTTATGTTAATTTCTACTTGCTTATTAATTTGGAAATATTTCTGAATTACTTAAAAAAATTCTCAATAATCCCAATTGTTTTTTAATAACAAGAAACTCAGTGTCTATATAAATTAATGATGGGAAAATATTTGGTCCCAGAGTTCTAGCAGAACTGATACACAATTTTGAAATTGTTGTCATTTTGTTGGGTGCTCATTACTACCTAATTAAAAAGATATTAACATGATGATTATGTTGTATACTTGGCTGAATAGCAACTTTAAATGATAGCTAGTGGATTATTTGTTTTCCAAGTATAATAAACTGGTGTCAGTTAAGCAAATTCATTGTTTGCATATAACTAGTAGCATTTTCCCCCTTTAAATTTACTCTTTTTCATAAATCCATTAAATTTTATATCCTTTTCCTGACCAATATTAATTGTCTGTTCCTGCATTCCTGCAATTGTTTAATGATACTATATTAAAAAAGCTACATGATCCTTGTTAGGGCTTTGCAGGTTTATTGTTTTAAGCAACAAGTACTCCCCAAAACCAGCTTTCATTAGTTTGCAGCCTGCCATCGCAGAAGGTCTCTGTTGAGGGCGCGGGGCTGCAAGGGGTGAGACCCCCATGCGCACGCACACACACATATACGCACACACTCTTTGCAGATGGTGGGAGAAGAACCTATGCTACTTTAATTCACCTTTTAATTGTATTTGAGAATCACCTTGTGTCTCTTTCCAAAAGAAACCATCAGAGCTCTTCAGCAGAAATTGAATGAGGCGGAGAAAACATTTCACTTCAATAAGTGTCAATGGGATGAAAAACAGAGAAGATTTATCAATGAGTTATCAGAAAAGGAGCTGATTATTGGTACCTGCCATGCTGAATATGAAACCCTTTTGAAGGAAAGGATGAGATTGGATGATATTTTGAAGGTAAACCTTTCTTTATGGTGTCTTCAGGAAGGTCATGATTGATGATGGTTATCATTGGAGCTCTCAACTCTATGGCAGTGTTTCTCAACTGTGATCACTTGAAGATGGGTGGACTTCTGCTCCCAGAAGTCCTCCCATCTTCAAGTGGTCAAGGTTGAGAAATAGTGCTCTATGGTGTATGTGTCAACATAGCATGTATGTACAAAGGGGCAGGGCTTAGACAGCAAAGAATTCTGGGAGCTGAAGTCCACCCATCTTCAGGTGGTCAAGGTTGAGAAACAGTGATCTATTGCAGAGGTCCCCAACCTTTTGGGCACCAGGGACCGGTTCAATGGAGAGAGTTTTTTCCATGGACCGGAGGGAGTGTGGTTTCATGTACTACCTGCATCCTGTAGATGGGGCATTGCTTGTTTGCGCGGACCGGTTTCTGGCATGCTGCAGACCAGTGCTTGTCCACGGACCGAGGGTTGGGGACCCCTCCTCTCTGGTATGCATCAACATAGCATGCATGTACAAAGGGGTAGTTGCCATTCTTTTTCTGACCTACTCCTATGGCTGTTGCTATATTTAATCGAAACTTTATGATTCAGAACGTAAACACATATTCTTACAGTATTTTCTGCTCTGTTTTTCTACAAAAAAGTTTCTTGGGCTTAAAAAAACATCTTGCAGTTGAAAAAATATGACACAAACTGAAAGGGGATTCAGAGGGAAAAGGAAAACAGAAAGTTGAGGCACTTGCTTGTAATTGCAGCACTCTGGAACTGAATTTATCTGAAGAAATGGTTGCTTTTTGGCAAAGGTTTTACATTGATGTTTTCTAAAACATAGTGATAGAGAGAGATGAGCTTTTGTCTTGCTCTGCAGGATGGGTGAGTGGGGGAAAATATTTTAAATTTAGGGTTGTCTTCCTGGCGAAATATTGTAAGTCTTATTTTTCAGGCACAGAGGTAAGCAAACTGCTTAAATTTAAATGATTAAGTGGGAGATTGATTTTTTTCCCTTTGACATGACAGTGTTCCTTGAGGAGAAGAAAAAATGTCTTAATGGTTCTTGGCCAGTGAAGAGTCCAGAGCAGTGGTTCTCAATCTTTTCTTCACCACGGACTCCCTTTAAATAACTTTTGTGGCCACGGACACCCAAGTTGTCACAAGATTTAAATAATAACATTTTGTCAAGCCTTCATGGTCCTTCCTGAGGTTCACGAACCACTGGTTTAGAACAGTGGTGGCGAACCTATGGCAGGGGTGCCAGAGGCGGCACTCAGAGCCCTCTCTGTGGGCACGCGCGCTGTCGCCCCAGTCCTATGCCTTCAGCTGGGTTTTATAAAACCTTTTCACTTTAGGCCTCCAGCGCCGTGTACAAAAAAAAAAAAAAGGTTCAATCAATCAGTCAATTTCAACTTCTTGTGGGAAAAAAAAAGATTTTGCAAAGTTGGAATTGATTGATTGAACTTTTTAGTCCCACCCAGTCTGCTGTTACCACCGCAGTCACACCCACCCAATGGGCCACACCCACCCAATGGGCCACGCCCACCCGGCACTCGACGATGCATAAGTGGGTTTTGGGTTGCAGTTTGGGCACTCGGTCTCTAAAAGGTTCGCCATCACTGGTCTAGAGCATGAGTGTCCAACCTTTTGTCTTGCTTGGACCTCATTGAGTGAAGAGTAATTGTCTTGGGCCACATATAAAATATATAATATATTTAATGTATATAACTCGCATAATGTTAAAAGTTTGCAGTCTTGAGGGGTGGCATTATTAGCTCTCCAGGGCCACATGTGGCCAGTGGTCACAGGTTGGGTGTGCCTGGTCTAGAGTGTGGGGCTCTTTTAAGTCCCGTTCCTTGCTTCCTCCAAGATGTTCAAGATGGGGAACGTAACTTCCTTCTCTCATCCAAGAGTGTAAGTTGATGTTCTTTTTTGGGGGGGGGAGGTTCTTACCCAATATAACTAGCAGATGTTTGCAGCCTGATTTCATCAAAGAAAAAGTAGTGATTTGTAGCTGAATTCAGCAGGGACAATTGAGAGACAGAAAAGAGTGAGAGCTATTCACACGTTAAAAAATAGTCTGATCCACAAAGCAGAGATGGGCATTGTGTAGGCTTTCAGTGCTCCTTGCTCTGCAGTTCCCATCAGCACCACCTCTTCTCTCTACAGGAAAGGCTTGATGGGACTTGGAATTCAATAATGTTGATAGTGACCAGTGTTGCTGTCCCTGCGGTAGATTATTTCCTTAAAGCAGAATTTCATACCTAGATCAAACTGAGTTTAGGATTTTGATTTGCAAGCAGAATGATTGGAACGGTGGTTTGTTCAGATACAATGGTAGTTTTTCTTGAGATGTCTCACTTTCCCTGCAGTGTAGCAAAAAAATATTATTTTTCCTTAAATCTAAGCAGTTTCAACTACCATACCTGAATAAAGGTATCATCCATTCAGACCGATTCACTGAGAGCGCAGTGAACTCTGTCTATGAAGAAAATGTCTTGCGTGAAATGTTTTCCCTCCTCTCCCTGGTAAAATTAGGAAATGAGAATAACATGGATCTACAACACAATGTTTGACAGCTTCAATTAATTCCCGTATGTCTATATTTCTAGCTATATGTCAAGCCTACAGTAGGTTATGATTAAGTTAATTTTAACCTGTATCTACATCAAGGAGACCTTGGAATGCCAGAAGGAACAGAAGAACGTGATAGAGTCAGAGATCATAAAAGTGGCAGAAGAAGAGTTTAGGTGTCAGGCAGAACACTGGGAATCAGAAAGAAGCGAACTCCAATTTTTGTTGCAGGTATCTTTCGTTGTAGTTAGATAACGCTGCTAAACTAGAAGTAGTCATATCTTTATTATAAGCCCAAAACAGTATTGGATTAATTGTTAAAAATATAGGTAGTCCTCAATTAACAACCACAGTTCAGCCCAAAATGTATGTTGCTAAGTGAGACATTGGTTACGTGAGTTTTGCCCCATTTTACAACTTTTCCTGCCACAGTTGTCAAGCGAATCACTGCAGCTGTTAAGTTAGTAACCCGGTCGTTAAGTGAAACTGGCTTCCCCACTGACTTTGCTTGTCAGAAGGTCACAAAAAATTATCACATTATCCCGGGACACTGCAGCCGTCACAAATATGAACCAGTTGCCAAGCATCCAAATTTTAATCACATCAACCATGGGCATGCTGCCACTGTTGTAAATGTGAAAAATGGTCATAAGTTACTTTTTTCAGGAGTGTTGTAATTTTCAACAGTCACTAAATGAACTGTTGTAAGTCGAGGACTACCTGTAATATAAGAGTACTATTAGACTGTTCCCTTTAGACCTTTGGATATTGTAAGCTGATGTCTCTTCTTACAACACAATAGTCAATGCTATAATGGCAGACTGTCTCTCCTCCTTAAAAGAATGTGCATCTTTTCTTAAATGTATCTGTCTATACCAGGGGTGTCAAACTCAATTTCATTGAGGGCCGCATCAGCATTGTGGTTGCCGTTTAGTTTAGTTTAGTTTTATTAAATTTATACCCCGCCCTTCTCCCGGAGGACTCAGGGCGGCTTACAGCCAGTTTAAAAACAATAATACAATACAATACAAAATTTAAAAGTGATTAAAAATAAATATTTAACTAGGCCGCTTCTACTAAATTTTTTTGTTAAAACCAATTTAAAATACCCCTAGGCCAGTCCTGCCCACTGAAATAACCAAGTTTTGAGGGCGCGGCGGAAGGAGGGGAGATCCGGAATCACCCAGATCTCTGGGGGCAGCTCGTTCCAGAGGGTGGGTGCTCCGACAGAGAAGGCTCTCCCCCTGGGGGTCACCAGCCGACACTGTCTGGTTGACGGCACCCTGAGGAGGCCCTCTCTGTGGGAGCGTATCGGCCGGTGGGAGGTGATCTGTGGCAGAAGGCGGTCTCGGAGGTAACCAGGTCCAATGCCATGGTGCGCTTTGGGGGCTGAGTGGGTGTGGCTGGGATGGGTGTGGCCTACTGGGTGGGCATGGCTGGGGTGTGTCTATCAAAGCCAGAACGCGCTCAGCCTAAGATCCACTGGAACCATCAAGGAGCTGCCTCGCCACCTCTGCCCTGCCCCCCCGGGTGTGCGCACAGGAGACGGCCAGCGCTGGCGTCCTGGGTGAAGTCAGCCTGCGGGACAAGACAGCCAGCAGGGACGCCGGACTCCGCTTGCGCGCGCACCCAGAGCACAGGCCAATGCTGCCCCATGGATTTAAGGCTGAGTGTGTTCTGGCTTTGATGGACACAACCAGGTTGTAGATCAGCACCCGGTCGTCCTGGGCCAGGCTGAGGTGTGGCGGGCTGGTCCTTCGCTCTTTCCAGAGCAGGTCCTCGAGCCAGATGGAATCACATATCGGACCAGATCCGGCCCGCGGGCCTTGTGCTTGACATGTCTGGTCTATACTATCTTTGGCCAGGATATCCCGGTATAATAATTCATAGATACATAGAAAACTAATGGCAGAAAAAGACCTAGTAGTCCATTGAGTCTGCCCTTTGAGTTTATTGTTTTTTGTTTTCTTTTCAGTTTACTTATTCTTTTAAATTGTTATTTATATATTTCATTCATGTTTATTTTATTTTTAATTTTTGTCAGATGATGGGCAAGTGTTTATCCCAAGCGAGTTTAAACTCAGTTACTGATAACTGATCCACTACCTCCGCTGGAAGTTGGTTCCAAGCTTCCACTTCCTTTTTCTGTGAAGTAATACTTTCTAACATTACTTTTGAACTTCCCTGCTGTCAGTGTGAGGTTATGTCCCCGTGTTCTTGATTTTTGCTTTAATATTGAGAGTGCATAGTAAAGTCCAAGTTTCTAGTCCAAATGATCACAGCACTGTATACCTTAGATGGGCATGCCTTAGGAGTTAGACTAGAGCATGGACTGCACCTGGTGTAAAGTAGTTAAGGAGGCAGCTTACTGCAAAACTATTTTTGCAGTTCAAAAGGCCAGTATGCTGTACAGCAAGATTCAACACTCTTGTACTAGAACAGGGGTCCCCAACCCCTGGTCCGTGGACTGGTATTGGGCCACGGCATGCCAGCACCGGTCCGCACAAACAACCAAAGCTCCATCCGTGGGATGCAGGCAGCACACAAAACCACGCCCCCTCCGGTCCGCGGATAAACCTCTCTCCACGGAACCGGTCCCTAGTGCCCAAAAGGTTGGGGACCTCTGTACTAGAATATAAAAGTCTACTTAGCCTGGATATCTGAACTAGGTCAGCTTCTTTATATACTGACCTGGTAAAAGCAGGGATGTCCTCTTCGTGCGGCCGTATCTTTAGAGGTTCACAGTCTCCTAAGAGGAAGGTGTTCCTCTCCCTATTTAGTTATGGTTGGCATCACAAATTGTACCAGCTGAAGATATACTTGTGGACTCAGGCTGTTACATTTGGGTTGCTAATATCTTTGTTGTTCTGTAAAATAGTTTTAATCTAAAGTAAATGATATACTTTTAGTATATACATCTGAAACATTCAGATTGTTCCCACAATTACCAGGCACCATGTCTATAGTCAGACTAGCTGCAGATTCTAGAAATTGCATGCAATATATCTGAAGAGTTGGGAAAGGCTGATCTGTATGTTCAGCTCATTTCCGTACAGTAGATGCAGTACTTCCAGATCTGCTCCGAAATCCATTTTAGGTCAGTTTGAAATTAGAAAGTAGATTACAAACTTTTAACCACTCCAGAGCTCTTCATACAGGCGGGAATTTAAACAGTGTCAATCAACAAGAAAAGAGAAAGAGCAGAGAAGAAAGTGACTAATGTTCAAGTAGTGTGATTTCCCCCTAAAGGCAATAAAGTGATATCTTTATTGTTTCCTGTGCTCCAAATATAAACATTGGTAGTCAGATTTATCTATTTACTAAAGTACTGAAGATGTGTAGTTAAACTAAAAATTAACGTGAAAAACTTAACTTCCTCAGTAATCTCAATAATAATAATAATAATAATAATAATTTAATTTATATACCGCCCTTCTCCCATAGGACTCAGGGCGGTTCACAGCATATTTAAAAACAGATACTATACACAAATACAAAAATACAAAAACACAAAAAGAAGATGAGATTGTTTTCAAAGCAAGCGTCTGTTAAAAAGATGTTAAGCAACATCTCTAATTTACAGAGAACAATGAAAGCGAGGGAAGGAAAAGCCAATATCTTGCAAGAATTGGGTTTATTTGTAAATCAAACGTGTTGTGAAATAAGAGTGACAAAAAAGGATTTAAAGAAAAAGTGATAACTGTAAAAGAAGTTGGTACCAAGTAGCACGCATAAAACTTAAAAGGAAAAATTATCCTAATGTAATAATAACAATCACCATTGACATTAATAAAATCAGTCAATTTGCAAAAGGCAGCTTTCCTTGGAACAGATTACAACCTGCAACAGTACATTAAAGTTACAAGGACATAAAGTTACAAGGTCTTTACCAACAGGTTGCAGAATTGGGCAATCTGTTGCTGCTGAAATGTTGAATTACAGGTTAGCCGTGGTAGCATAGCCAATATAAAGTGTGCAAGGAGTTTTAATTCAGTAATCTCTGAACAGCCTCAGATTTCTTACACTTGGATAATAAAGTGCCTATCTGTGTGTATGTGGGTTCATAAATATAAAATCTAATTGGGCATTGATTTGATCTGGTTATAGTGAGTGTTGATCCTTAGAAATCATATACAGTGGGGGAAAATATTATTTGATCCCTTGCTGATTTTGTACGTTTGCCCACTGACAAAGAAATGATCAGCCTATAATTTTAATGGTGGGTTTATTTTAACAGTGAGAGACAGAATAACAACAAAAAAAAATCAGAAAAACGCATTTCAGAAAAATTATAAATTGATTTGCATTTTAATGAGTGAAATAAGTATTTGATCCCCTATCAATCAGCAACATTTCTGGCTTCCAGGTGTCTTTTATACAGGTACTGAGAGCTGGGCATCTTCTCCCCTTTCCTTCTATCTTTCTTAGCATTATTTATATTTTTAGGTAAATTTGGTGTGTGCTCATTGCTACTCAAGTTGGCTCAGCCTTCCATCCTTCTGAGGTGGGTAAAATGAGGACCCAGATTGTTGGGGGCAACTTGCTAACTCTGTAAACTGCTTAGAGAGGGCTGTTAAGCCCTGTGAAACGATATATAAATCTAAGTGTTATTACTATTGCTATTTTTATGGTTTGATTTTTAATCTTTCCTTTCTGTTACCTGTGAGCAATTATGTTGCAACTTTGAAATGGAAGATCTGGTCCCTTAAATAAGTCAATTGAACCAGATGTAAGCTATGGCTTGTAAACATTATTTTAGAAGTATCTGTGTAAATGGAATAAAAATGATTCTCTGTAGCAAAGAGAAATGCAACCATAAGCCCTTTGAAGAATTTTTAGCAGAGGGAAATGTATTGATGGGCTTTTGGACGATTTATGTTGAATCCTTTGCCTACTTTCTAAAAAAAGATTGGATTTTCTGTAACAAATACAACAGCATCATCTTGTGGCTAACAGCCCAACATTGCATGATAAACTTGTAAGCTTACTTATAATAGAGGGATCTTTATTTTGGTTAAACAAGCCATAGCCCTATTGTAATTCCACTGGTGTTGTGAGAATAAACTATTGAAATCAATCTTCTTTCACATAGTGAGGTTGTATTGTAAGAAATAACTACATTTTATACTTGCTCTGCCTTCAGATGCCATTCTAATATTGCATTTCAAGGATCATGACTTGCTTTAATAAGCTGAAATAACAATAAATCTTTTGGGAGTGCATGTAATCCC